GAGGTGTTAAAATAACACCAGAATGGATTAAAATAATCTGCAACAGTTTAATCCCTCTAGGATTAAATTAACACCAGAAAGGATTAAAATAATCTATTTTGCGGTGTTATTTTTAACTATGAATGAAATTTTACTTTAAATAAAACACAAAAGTCAACGCTTTGTAAAAATTCAACGAATTTAGCTTCTCCAGGGAGAATAGTAAGTTAGTTATTACTAGCTTAGTTACTAACTTACCAACTAACTTAGTAATAATATAGTTACTGATAGTTACTAAATTCAATTGTGTTCAAAAATTTAAAAATTTCTCGTCAAAATTTCAATTCTCTTTATAAATAATAAAATTCTTCTCTGATATTCAATTATTTTACAAAATTTTAATCAAATTCTTGTCAAAATTTCAATTATTTTCAAAAGTTCTCTAAAATTCAATGATTTTCAATATCTACTATTTCAATAAAATTTTCCAAAAGAATTCGATTATTAAAAAAAATTTGAATAAAATTCTACGCAAACATTCAATTATTTTCATAAATAATAAAAATTTTTACAGGAATTCAATTAATTACAAATTATTTTATAAATTTCTTCGCAGAATTCAATTATTTTCACAAATTTTAAATAAAATTCTACTCAAGAATTTAATTACTTTTCAAAGTTAGTAAAAATTATCACAGAAATTCAATTATTTTCAAAAATTATTAAAATTATTAGCAGAAATTCAATTATTTTCGAAAAATTAGTAAAATTCTTAACAGAAATTCAATTATTTTTAAAATTAGTAAAATTCAATTATTTTCAAATATTAATCGATTTTTTCCACAAAAATTCAATTATTTTAAAAAATTAATGAAATTTTTCGTAGGAATTCAAATATTTTTAAAAATTAATAAAATTCTTACCAGAATTCAATTTTTTTCAACAATTTAAAAAAGAAATTCTCCTCAATTTTTCAATTATCTTTATAAATAGCAAAATTCTTCGTCGAAATTCAATTATTTTCAAAAATTTTTAATAAAATTCATGGCAAAATTTTAATTATGTCTTTTTAAAAACTTTCCTCAATTCAATGATTTTTAATATCTACTACTTTAATAAAAATTCCTAAAAGAATTCAATTGGTTAAAAATTTTGTTAATAAAATCCTACGCAAACATTCAATTATTTTCATAAATAATAAAAAATTTTACAGGAATTCAATTAATTACAAATTTATTTATAAATTTCTTAGCAATAATTCAATTATTTTTATAAATAATAACATTTTTACAGTGGGATTCAATTATTTTTATAAATAATAAAATTCTTTTAGGAATTCAATTATTTTCATAAATAATAAAACTCAATGCAGAATTTTAATTATTTTTAATGCAACTTTAATCGAATTCCTCGAAAAATGTAATTATTCTTAAAAATTTTATTAAAATTCGTCCAAAGAATTTAATGATTTAAAAAATTTGTTGATAACATTTTTTATGAGAATTTAATTTCAAGAAACATGAAATTAATTATTTACTTATTTTTGTATATTTAAATAATTGAATTCTCGTAGAATTTACTAATAAAAATGGTTTTAAAAATGAATTTCAGTTGAAATTTTTGATTATAATTAAATATTAAAAGCATTATAACGTGGATTTTTAGAAATAATTAAATTTTGAAAAAGTATCAAATTAAAATCATTGAAATTCTTAATTTTTCATATTTTTGACAAACCATTCTGTATAGAATTAATTCTTTTTAAAAGTTTAATAGGATTTTTATTGAAATTATTTCAAGTTTCTATTTTTCAATATATATATATTTAATTGCAGAATTTCCAAATAATTGAAATTTTGTAAAATTGAATTGTAAACGAATGAATTTGAAAATTCTCAAAGAACTTTTTTAAAAATTATTAAAAATAATGGATTTATTGAAGAATTTTAGTTAAAAACACTAAAAAAAAATTTAATTTTAAAGAAGTTACAAATTATTGCAGAAATTCAATTATTTTCAAGAGTAATAAAATTCTTCTTAAGGATTCAATTGTTTTTACTAATAATAAAACTCATTGCAGCGCTTCAATTATTTTTCATACAATTATAATATTGAATTCCTTTAAAAAATTAATTATGTTCATGCAAGTTTTAATAAAATTCGACAAAAGAATTTAATTATTTAAAAATTTGTTACTAAAATTCTTTATGAGAATTAAATTTTGAGAAACATTCAATTATTCAATAAATTATTCACTTTTGCATTTAAATAATTAAATTCTTGTAGAATTTTCTAATAAAAATTTATTTTCATTTCATAAAAATGAATTTCAGTTAAAATTTTAGATTATAATTGAATATTAAAAGCAATATAGCGTGAATTTTTAGAAATAATTGAATTTTGAAATTAATTTTTTTGAAAAAGTTTAATTGAATTTTCTTTTATATTATTTGAAGTTTTTATTTTCTAATATGCATTTAATTAAAGAATTTAGAAATAATTGAAATTTCGTGAAATTGAATATTGTAAACAAATGGATTTGAAAATTGCCAAAGAACTTTTTCGAAAATTATTAAAAATAATTGATATATAAAGTAAAATTGTAGTTAAAATTTTTTGAAAATAATAATTGAATTGAAGCTAATCCGAGTAGTTTTAATTTTTTTCTTCCGACATATTAGAAATTAGATTGTACATGTCGAATTTCGAAAAACTGTCTACAGATGCATAACACAGGCACACAAAAAAATAAAAGTGGTCTATTTATTGAACCAGACCTACATGTCTTATAGTATTTTTGCCCGATGAAAACGAATATGAAGTCAAAATTACTCCATCACCTTCTGTTTTTTTTAAATAAAAAAACTACCCTTAAATGTATAAATTCAAAGTTTCCAGTACAAAAATGAAATAACGCAGATTGTTTTTCAAAACTGAACAATAAATTTTATTCTTTATTCCTGTGTAATCTTTACACGGTAAATCGTTAGGTATTAAAATAACACCAAAAAGGATTAAAATAATCCAATTTAGTGTTATTTTAATCCATTTTGGTGTTATTTTAACACCTAACGATTTACCGTGTAGAATAATAATCAGCGATCCTGATATCAATGAAAACGGTTGCAACTTATGTTTCTTTAATATAGTTCAGTTTTTGCATGAATGTAAAAGAATTAGAGTTTAATTTTTAAATATTTATGTACATTGCGCATCCATGGGAAGTTCTCTATTTTATTGATAATAAGAAATTCAGAAATTGGAACATAATCGTACATCTGAGAGAAATTGGTTTTGGAAGCAGAACCGATTTCTGTCGACATGATCTATGGTACGTCGATATTAGCATCCGAGAACCATCGATCACGCAGGCTTGGAGATGAACGAGTGGTATATAGATTTAAAATGAAACGCAGGGACGTGATCTCCCTTTATTATCAGAGAGAGATCAATAAGGCTCCTCGGAAGGCACTTCGAGTTTGCATGCCCGACCTTAATAAGCGGTTTGCCTCAGAACAATCCGATTAATTCGAGAGTGCCTCGAACTCGATTCGGTTCGAAGACTTGCGCTCTCTGTGTGTCTGAACCTGCGCTGATAAAGTTGGCTTTTGCTTAGCTTAGGCATCAAAGTATCCTCAGTAATCATAGTATTTTCCTTTGCATTGCTCGAACGTGACTTGTGACCGAGCACTCCACCAGGAGTCCATTTCCCCGAGACCTACAACCTTCATTTCTTTGAAATTAATTATTTACTCTTTAAAGATATACGCGACTGATGTATAATGGACATTCCAGTGTCTTCAAAAAAAAAAAAATTCCAATGTTTTCCTTATTTCTCTTTAATCAACAAATTGCAATTATTATTGTGACTTGCCATTGTCTTTTTCACGCGTAGCGATAGAAATTTAAAATGCATTTTCAAATCATTTTTCAAGAAAGTTTACAGGAACGATTAAATAATTTTTTTTCCATTTGAGAAATAAGGTGGAGTCGCGGTAGAATAAAAAGCATCAGGATGAAACAATAGATTCTGTTGAATTGAATTAAAAGCCGATTTATATAATCGATCAAAGAAATATTTTTCTTTTTAATAGACCATTTGCTATTAAATTAACAATGAAATTCATTGACTTGTTAACAATTGAAATAATTACGATGTTTCAATTTCTCGAACGGCACGGAAGAAAAGAACAAAGTAACTTTTACCATCTAAAATCTAAACTGACTCGAATCTCAACAAATTTCTATCAATTTTCAATATTTCAGGAGGAAATGTTTTCATTTGCAGATTTAATTTTATTGCTTACTTTGGGACAATCTTCAATAATATTTCTTCAATGCAAAAAATTATTTTTATTAATTTATTAACTACATTTCCTACTCTAGAAAAAAAATTGTAAAAAATTTTTCTCTATTCCTTCTTAAAATAATTTTTCTAAAATTTTGTAAAAAGGTGCAATTTTAATCTTTAACTTTGATTTGGTTATTTTTTAGTAAATGTGTCCTACTACTTTTGTTCCTGGCATCAGATTCGTAATCAACGACCACAAAAACCCCTGAGTAACGAGTTGCAGGCAAATTAAATCTATTTTTAAAAAAGTTGTTCGCCATATTGGATCCGCCATTTTGAATTTTGAAAAACTGACAACGGATTCGTAATCAGTGACCTCGAAAACCCCTAAATATCCCCTAGAAGCCAGAAACGACTTGATCTAGCAAAACGGACAGTTTTTTTTTCTAGTTTCCGAAAATGTTTGATTTTTTGTGTGTGAAAAAGAGTTAAATTTTGTCGGACGGTGATTACACTACGTTAGTGTATTCTGAATGTGTTTCTTCTCGTCGAATCCAAAATCAAAGTCAGAATTGTCAGATTGGCTCAAAATTTTTTAGAAAGACTCAAAAAACGATTTAAAACGAATTAAAAAAAATAACTTTGGATTCGGATTTAGCGAATAAAAATACAATAAGTAGAATTAATTTTTGCGCTCATGGTAGGGAATAATTAAAAATTCGATAAATTCTTGCACAAGACATACAGAATTCTTTTATTTTTTCTAAATTGTTACAGTAATTCTGTTAAGATTCCATTTTGCAGAAATATTAAGAGAACAGTTGTATTATATTTTATAGAAGTTCAAATTTTTTAATTGATATTTTTTTAAATTCCCGATTAAATGAAAGTTGTTTCTGTTGTCTTGCAGTTTTTAGATTTTAGTCACATTTGTTATATCCTCATTTTGAGAAGTGTCCTGAAATTTTATAGGACAGCATTTATCGAACTCTGGATATTAGTTTTTCTTATGATCTGAAAAGAAAAATTTTATTTGATTAGAAAATATTTTGACGATTTTCAATATGTAAAGGTATATTTGTATAAAAATTGTATATAACTATATATATGTGTGTATCATAAGTTTGCATAGAAACGGCATAAATGTAGAATTAGTACATTATGCAACAAAGGCGTATTATGGTCACTCTATATGCTACCCGTGCATGCCGGTGCATTTTATGTTTCTTCATATAACTCAGCTGATCAATAAAGTGTCCAATATTGCCCTAGGGTTCCAGGTGGAAAAGTTAACGTAAGTTAACGTCATCTAATGATATTAACATTATGCTAATGTTAATCTAACGATAATGGCTAACGGCCAAAACATTTTTTGGTTAGTAACGATAGATTAACGTCAACTAAACGTTAGCCTAACTTTAGTTAACATTAATATCATTAGCTAACGCTAACTTTTCCACCTGGGATAATAATGAGTACTTTATTGACCTGTGAGAAACGATTAATAAAGTACACTTTATTGCCCTAGGGTAATAATAGATACTTTATTGACCTGCGAGCGGTTAATAAACTACACTTTATTACCTTAGGATAATAATAGATACTTTATTTACCTAGGGCAATAAACTACACTTTACTGCCCTAGATCAATAATAAGCACTTTATTGGCAGAACTGCTATAAACGTCTGAGTTGCATACAAAACTTTTTTATAGATTTAAAATTCGATTTAAGGATGTCAATTATTCTTACCATGAATTTACATCTTTGGTGCTTGGCAAGAAGGTGCTTGCTTTTGTGGTTCTGGACAGCTGACCTTTTTTGGTGGCTGTGGGCTGCAAACTTGTTGCTTTGGTGGCTCAGGGCAGCAGACTGGCTTTTGTGGTGCCTGGCACACTGGCTTTGGTGGCTCTGGACAGCAGACTGGCTTTTGTGGTGCCTGGCACACTGGCTTTGGTGGCTCAGGGCAACAGACTGGCTTTTGTGGTGCCTGGCACACTGGCTTTGGTGGCTCAGGGCAACAGACTGGCTTTTGTGGTGCCTGGCACACTGGCTTTGGTGGCTCAGGGCAACAGACTGGCTTTTGTGGTGCCTGGCACACTGGCTTTGGTGGTTCTGGGCAGCATTCTTGCTTTGGTGGCTCTGGACAGCAGACTGGCTTTTGTGGTTCCTGGCAAGCTGGTTTAGGACAGCTGACTTGCTTCTTGGGTGGTGGGCATGGCATCACAACCGTTTGTTGGCTCATTTTCGACACTGAAAGATCTCGAGTTTCTCTTTCCTGAAAAACAGAACAAATTTGTCGTCTTTTGTACAACAAAAATAGTATAAAATTCTGATAAAAGAAAATGTTTCAAAATTGTTCTAAAACTTTCTCTAAGATTAATCTTTGATATGACAGTATTTACCTAGATTTAAAGTTTGGAATCCAAATTCTCGAATTTCGTACAATAAAATCAATCAATTATTTATTATATAATCAAATTTAATAATTTTAAATGTAAAATGTTAAATTTATAATGTCCGAGTTTTTCTAAGGATATCAAATTGAGACAAAAAATGAATTAAACGTCTTGCGAAGCAGCATTTTGATTAGTTTTTTGTCTCAATTTGATATTCTTAGAGAAACTGTGGTAGTATATATTTAAATACAAATGTTCTAACAAAAATAGTTTGGACCTAACAAAAAATATTTTATCCAAAGAAAAATTTACAATTTTACACAAAAGAGGTGAATACTTACAAAAAAGAAGACTGTAGACTACTTTGCTGTAGACTGAGAATTGTTGTAGAGACTTGAAGGTACTCTTTCACTGTATATCATAATGAACTCAACAACCGTTTATATATTCGATGTCGTGCTTTACACCTTAAGTGTTAATGATCTTTTTAATGAGGATATAACGATTTGCCAAAGGCAAATCTACATATTGAGGCATTACAAAAGTAAGCATACACTATGTCATTATTTTTATACAAAATATAATAAATATATTATCACTTAATTTATAATTTCATCAGACGGTATGGAAATTGTTTCATGCTACACTTACTGTTTAAATGTATCATAATCACAACGATAATTACTCGTGTATAATTACCCTGATGATATTAATTTGGAAATTTTTATTTTTAATCTTATTTTAATGTTAATACTTTAAAAGTGGAACAGAAATTAAATTATGCATCAACCATTTTCAAAAACCGTTTTCAAGTTAATTTAAAGTTTTAATTTAATACATTTTCTATTAAATATTTTTTGCAATTATTTTAATTGTAAATTAAAAATATACGCACCTTTAATTAAAATAACTAATTTCATTCGTCTGTCTTCATTCTTTTTGTTTCTAATTATCCAGTTGGCTTTTCCATTTTGTCATTTCCTTTTGTCAATTTTTACTTCAAAGCTCCAGTGATCTAAAAAAATGTCTACTGTTAATATCCATTTATAAAATGCCAAAAGAGTTTATTAAGAGGAGGAGACATCGATATTTTAAAAATATTTTTAAAAATTTCTGTAGAATATAAAAAAATTGTTATTTTCTCGGCTGTTGATTAATGTTACAATGAAAATATCAATCTTTTATAAAGAAATTAACTTATTTTAAATTTAGTAAAGTTTTTTTTGCAAAAGTTTCAGAGTAGACCTAATAAAAAAAGTTACATTTTCTCAAGTGGAGGGACCGGAGAAATTTCCATCTTTCGATATATAAGTTGGAAGATGAAAAGATTTTTTTTTGAATTTATTTAGGATATCTTTTTTAATATTAAAATTAAAAAGAAATTTTTTTTACCATTTTCGAAATTCTATTTTTTTAATTTTAATCCTACTGTAAACTTAATTTCACGTGAAATCGACTTTTATAATTTTGAGAAAGAGAAAAAAATAGGATTATTTTATGAGAAACAATGAAAAACAAAAGTCTAACAATATTTACTTATAAATAGGTACAAATTTAAAATTACAAAAGATGTTAAATAAAAAAAGAAATCTTAAAATTTCCATTATATTCCCAAGTGGAACGTGTTCATCAGTAAAAATCGAGGATCTGGATTTTCAACTACCTCATAGTCATGCCTTTGAATGGAGAATGACTTTTACGATGGCAATAAAAACAACAACAACGACAGCAAAAAAAAAGAAAGAAAAAAAAGATGAAGAAGAAGAAGAAAAGAAAAGACAAAAAAGCATATAGACTGTTCTGTTGACATAGAGTCGATCATAAAAATATATCTCGAGAGATAAATCCGGGAAATCAATACTCAATAGGAACATCATACACAAGACTGTGAGATGCATGATTTCATGGAACTGGCTCCTCAGCAAACGTTCGCTCGAGTTGCGTGTGGGAAAAGTTGCCGGATGCATTATGTATTTATTGCTTTACTTATTTAGTTGAGAATTACTTTAACCCGACGTAATGACTTTCAGTAGGTAACGCTATCTTAGGCATTTCATAAACCTGATTTATTGGCAATAATTTTTTTTTAAATTCCACATTTTGTCATCTATGAGTCCTCTACTCCATAGATTTTCGCATTAAAAAAAAAAAAATTTCACCCCGAAAGAATTTTTATTTCATGAATTTTTAGATCAAACATATAGGTACACGGAGAGATTCTGTTTTAATATTTCGTATTATTATATTAGTATTTAGTAAAACCGATTGCAATTTGAGGAAATCATATGTACATTCATGAATTAATATTACCATTATTAAAAAAGTTTATAATAAAATTATTACTTAGTAATATTTCGAAGTAACAGAAATTAGAATATATAAGTACACAATTTGATATCCTATATTTTTCATATTCCTTAGTCCTTAGAACATTTCCTATCGATTAAAAAAAATTTAAGGGTTAATATAAAACACGATTTTCCTAAAATGAAAATGAATATATTAAATTCTATTACCAATTTTAACAAATATTAATACAAAATCTCTCTCCGTGTACTTTTTGCATATATACGTTTGATATTAATTTACGATTTTTCCTTCGAATTTATAATATCCAATTTTTTTTTGCATCAAATTAAAAAATAGTTGACTGATGATGTTTTAATAGAACATTTATTCCTTGGACAAGTTTTTGAATTAAATTTCCATAGGAAAATGTAAAATTATTTCTTTGATGTGCAATTTTAAAATTTAAATTGAAATAATTGTAATAAGAATCTAAAAAAAGCCGAGAGGAATTAATTATATTGCAATATATTTTGTAATGCAAAAAGAAAAAAATTGAATTTTTTATTTCTCAGACTAAACACACATGATCGCTACTAGTTTTGCTGAATAATCATGTCATGAACAAATACCTTTGAATTCCTAAGTTTGCCTTAATGAGAAACTTATCTATAATGTTTGGAATCTAAGGAACTCTCAATGGCACATACAAATAACAATTTATAAACTAATTTCACTTTTTAATTTTGTAAACTAATAGTAATCGTAATTTCAAAAGACAACAAACTAAGAAGCGTTTCAAACAAAAAGAAAGAAAAAATTGGAAAAAATTTGAAAAAATATTTCCAAAATTTAAATATTTGGAAAATTCAGTAATGGCGGAGCTTTTTTTAATTGGTATCAGGAAGCTAAATACGAAGGAATGGACTTCTAATGAACTCATTATTGCGAGGAAGATGTTTGCTGACTTTCAGCAAAACATGGCAGCACCTTGCGTTAAAGAAATCTCAATTTTTAACGCTTACATTTCGCTAATTGCCGCCGCTTGCATGTGAACTCGCAATAAATATTCGTGATTACATACGTGAGATATGCAGAGGCGTTATGAAAATAAAAGAAAAAAAAATAACTCGCTTCAAAGTTCCTTTAATTAGGTCGACGTGTCCTTCCTCTGAAACGAAGGGGAGAACTCAATTCGCAAATATTTAACCTTTTCCAACACCCCCTCCCCCCACCCACTAGGGGAAAAATTTATTTAAACTAAAAAAATCAAAATCAACTCAAAAAGTAAAAGAAAAATTCTCTCGAGAAACCCAGAAAAAGAATAAATATCTATATATACATTTTAATAAAAATTAATTCTTTAGGGCGTTTAATTTAATTACTCAACGAGTCACGCGCTTAGACTTTTAAAGATAAATGTTAACGATATAAAAAAAATATGTTTTAATGAAATTCATGACACTGATTGATTTGGTGAATATTGTAAGCATCTCATAATGCAAGAAATATAATAATAATTATTCTAGATCCTCATTTCCGGTTAACAAGTAAAGATAATAATTTTTCTGTATTTCTTTCATGCTTTTTAATACATAATATTTTCTGCATATACAATATATTATATTTTCACGATCTTCGTTGATTGAAATCGCGAATCAAATTCCTTGAAAATTGTATATTGCCTCCACGCAAATGTCACGTGAAATTAAAAAAGAAAAAGAATTTTTAAACACACGAGAGAAAAAAAATTCACGGAAAATATTATCGCTCTTATCCATTTTGCAGAATCGATTAAACAAATCAATATCCATTTATTCCAGCTAGAATGATAAAACTTATACGCTAATACTATTGATACAGATTTTTTTATTCCAATCATTTATTTGTACAGTGGCGACTGTCTATCAACGGATGATAAATTCTTGATTTATGATAAGCTGATGAAGGAAGAGTTTTCTAGAAAAAAAAATTTCTTTTTTATTTAATTTTGAAGGTGATATTTTTATTTCTACAATTTATTTCCTGTTGATATCTTAGTATTTAATGAAGATGAGTAATTATTATTTAAACTATGTCTATTACAGTGTTTTGTTCATACTTTATTAGATTTTTCTTTTGAGATCTTTAGATGATATCTTTTGAGATGATACGAATAGTCGATTTATAATTAAAATGAGAGTGAGGGAGAAATTTTTATTTGAGTATAGAGTCGTTGGAATGGATAATGAAAAGGGAGAGTTTTGAAGTTACTTGATCAGCCATATGTGGAGGAAAAGTATCATCGGCATTTTCCTGTTGGTGTCAATAAATCAATGCGTAGTTAACGACAATGAGCCAAGAAAACTGTTCTGCCATGACAGGGTGTGTCATTACTGTGTTACTTATAAGCTCCTTCATGATACGTTTACCGCATACAAATGAAGTGACCGATTACAAAACCTATTGAAAAAGCGACCTCCGTGGCATGCGACGTATGCAAGGATGCAGGGTGCTCGCACCATAGAAACGCGCGGGGAGATTTTATCTTGGCGAATTAATCGACCATTAACATGCAACTCGAATATTGATTTATTGTTGAGGAAATGTTTCTTAAGTTGAACAAAATGAATGCTGGACAATCGTTTTGATGAAAAAGTACACGTAGTGGTAGTAGTAATAATAATATCAGTGCTGTAGAAAAAGAAACAAATTCCTCTTTTTATATTAGAAGAACAAGAAAAATTTGTTGATAAAAAATTATTACTAGAGGATGGTTAGTTTTATGAAAAGACTGGTAAACCTTTTGTCCATACTGACTTTATCTCAACAAATTTTTTTTTTCTTTATCAACCACATTTATTTATTTAAAATCTTCTTGAAACTAATCTCCATCCATTAAAATATCCTCATCTATATATTTTCATCCATACCTTTCACTACCCTATTCACAACAATTTTACTATCACCCAAGCTTTTTAAATTTTTCCTCATTAATACCATCATACGAGCAGCGTTACAAGTCAAACCAGCTGCATTTCTGTCTCCAGTAATGCTTCGGCTAATGACATTGTTTGCTGCAATAATGATCCAGACCAAGCTATAAGGCTGCAGGAGGAGGAAGCAGCTTGTATTTAAAGAATAGAGGAAGAGGTCAGACAGATACTAATGTCCTGTGATGTCCAGCAAAACGTCAATATGACGATCAAGAACGGACTAAAAAGCATAACAACTCTCATATAGGAAATTAAGGAGCAGCACACAGCTGAAAAAAGTAGATGAGAGGTTTCACCAACAATTAGTGTGGTCAGAGGAATCAAGACAAGATCGAAGAGTTAGACTGTAGTCTAAAGAAATGTCGTCTTGGAAGGTCATAAGCAGTCGTGAGTTGTCTAAAAACTCAAAGAAGAAGAAGAATGAAGGACTTTGGTGCTTCTGCACCAAACACAGAAGAAAGGAAGGAAGGCCTCAGAAGAGGTTATCAATGATTGTTAAAGTGGCTGAAGGTTCGACGTTCGCAGCAGTTGTGGGAAAGATCCGTGAGAAAGTGAACCCAAAAAAAGCCATACTATTTGTGTAGGGGCTGTATCCGCCAAGAAGGGAAACCTGGGTAAGGTGCAGATTGTAGACTGGCCAACTACTTTGGAGATCCGTGATCTGGATTGTCTTACAGAGCCAACAGACGTCCAGGAGGCCCTAGATAGTTTCGACAACGCCAGTAGAAAGCAGAAAGGTAACTTTTTTGGGACCTAATAAGCGAGGTGCTAAGCTCGCTATTGTACACAGCAAGATGCAGAGAAGCTGGTACATCTCGGCCACATAAGGGTTGGGTTTTTATTTTGTCCAGTGAGGAAAAGAGTTATGGCCACAAAGTGTCATAGGTGCCTTGACTACGGTCATATAGGCATAGAGTGTAAATGTCGCAAAGTCCGGAAGCTGCAAGGTCTTCAGAACCGCCCTAGAGGAAGCGAACAAGACTTTGTCCAGGACACGGAGGAAATAGAGCTTGAACAAGAGCGTCACGGTACGGTCGCACAAGCAACAAAAAGGAACCATTCATCTGCGAAGTCTGAGGCTGGAAGATAGTTTCGTAGGTGGATAAAAGGTTCGAAACCCAGGGGTATTAAGAAGAGGTTTTTAGTCGGTATTGGTGACTGCAGCTATGCAAGGTTTTTTATTTTCCTTGCATTTTGTCATGAGTACCACATACCTCAGCGAAGTGGGAGCTTCCTGGGCATGCGTTAAAAGCATTTTTCTCTTCTCCCCCATGAATAAAAAAAAAGTTTGTTATAAAACATACCATTTCAATGAAGATCTATAAAAGTGTTGCACTAAAAATTTCTAATGATTAACGAACAATTGATTTAAATTATTAGAAAGTTTACGACCCGTTAAGCGAACCTAAATTTCAGTTTTTCGATTCGGTGCAAGAGACGAATGTAAATGTTGTGCCCGTCTGAAAACTCATGAAATGGTAGTTTTCTACCACCCCGACAATGTATGGTCAAAACCTATTTATCTGCATGAGCGATATCAGCCTTCTAAGTCTCGTCTTGATTCCCACATTGATATTCTCTTGTACATAGCAGGACTATGTTCGTTGCTGCTTTCGATTTTAAGTTTAGTTGCATTACTGAAAACAGACTTATTCAGGTGCTCACACTTCATCTTCTCTTTGCTTGATCCATGATGTCCGGTATGCTTAACGGACCACTATTGGTTGTCTAGGGGATGAAAGTGTATTCATGCTACGGAATTTACGTATACGGCCAGGTGAATAGTCAATCCATATTCCATCATGTGTCGTACAAGCCACTCGTCCAAAACTTAAGACTGAACTTAGACATAAGCTCGCTCAAAGCTCAAGGCTCACTTAAAACTCAAGACTTGTTTAAAGCTAAAAATTCGTCTACTATATAAGCGTGGCATAAGACTGATGCGTCAAGACTTGATTTAAGCTAAAAATTCGTTAATGATTTCAAGCTTACATAAATCTCAAAAAATGTTTTAGAACAATAAGGTCATAAGCAAAGTTAAATCTTCAAACAAGTCTTGAGCGAGTTTTACATCTTAGACCACTCTAAAATCTTGGAAGAGCTTCCAGGTTCAAATAGCTCTTTAGCCTTAAGCGAGTCTTAAGCCTTAGACGAATGTTTAATTTTAGACGTGTTTTTAGCTTCAAAAAATGTTCAGCCTGAAATAAGTCTTAAGCGAGCCTCATCTTTTAGTTCAGTCTTAACTTTTAGATGAGTTTTTAGCTTAAAGCAAGTCTTGAGCTTTAATTGAGCCTTAAGCCTTAAACGAGCCTTATATCTAAGTTCAGTCCTAAGTTTTAGAAGAGGTTTTAGCTTTAAACAAGTCTTGAGCCTTAAGTGAGCCTTGATCCTTCATTGAGTCTTATTTCTTAAGTTTTAGACTAGTTTTTAGCTTCAAACAAGACCTGAGCTTTAAGGGAGCCTTATGTCTAAGTTCAGTCCAAAGTTTTAGACGAATTTTAGCTTTAAACAAGTCTTGAGCTTTAAGCGATCCTTGAGGTAGACAAAATTTTTTTACGCGGGTACTAAATTTATTAAAATTACCGGTTGTCCTCTCACGGTTGAGCAAAGAAACCCTGCTCATCTAGGGGTGTTTGTAATTTTATTTAATCATCAGCATCCTAATAGTTCACTAAACTGGGTTTTAGATGATTTCTGTAACGGATCACAGTTCGAAAAATAGTGTAGCTTCAAAGAGTAAAATTCATGATTTCAAAATTTTACTAAGCTTGTTGATATTCTTGACTGGTTAGAAGAGGAACTTTCTGCAAGGGATAGGAAACTCGTTACGACATTTTATGTCCCCTTTTAGTGTTGGCGGCACTCAGATAATAAAATTGATTTCTGGTATTTTCAGACTCAGAATGATTTAGCATCCTATGGATAGAGAGAAATAATTTATTTTCTTTATTAAAAAGTCGTAAACAGAAATAGTGATTTTTAATTAACTAACCTTTAATTCATAAATTTTGATAATCCTGAAGCTTTTCCACCGTCATGATATTATATCTGCATTCTCGTTATCCGCAAATAGAGACCTTAAAAAAAGACTGTCATTAGAAATTTAGAAATTAATATTTTAAATGATCGAATAGAAAAAAGGTTTTGGGGCCCGAACTGAACTGAAATTCGGTGACTTATCCCACCTTATCGAAATTAGTTGCAGTTTTTTTTAAACAAAAAATTTTTTTAAATTGTCGTCGAAATTCATCTATCATGATTGAAGATAAATTGATTTACCCATAAAGAATTCCAACAACTTTAAAGACTGATCGAACTGGTTAGCAGTGCACATTCGATAGCTGATAAACACGTCGTTCTTAAAAGCGTCGAGAGTAAATGTCGACAATCCCAGTACGTATCAGACATGAGACGAGGGCCAATGTACACAATTTCCACTTTTAGGAACAACATCATTCGAGAGGGTTGAAAAGCGTCACTATCGCCATCACGTGAGAGCAACAACAATCTTAAAGGTTAAATGGTATCGTACCCAGTTTCCGCCACCAAACAACTCCAAGTCGAACTTTATCTTTTCAACTTGCTTATCCACTATTTCTTATCCCCCACCCAATACTCATTCCCCTATCTTCCTTGAGCACAGTACGAGAAACAAACCAAGTCGGGAAAATTATGAGTCTTAGTAGACCATCTACAATAACTGTCTGATTTATTTCTCACACCGATGCTCAAAAATTGACGTGTTCGTTGTCTACACAATGAAGAAAAGAAAATACGAAATAGATTCCAAGTTCCGCCGGAAGTAGCGCTGGCAACACCGGAAAATGTTACTGGATTTCTTTTTGGATGACTACATATTTTGAGGTCAACAAAAGAAGAAAATAATCATTGGTTACAAAGAGATTTATCTTTATTTATATTTAGATACTAGTTACAATTTTTATTATGGTAACTGGAACTGATTTTTATTACTAGGTTTTTTTTTGTATTACTTCCTGAATCTATAAATCAAAAATTAAATAAGGATGATTTATGTATTTAAAAAATAATGCAAAAACTATACGGTTTATTAATTTTTTTCTGTCTACATTTAAAAATAAATAAAACAAGAAAAAAAATTGAAGGAAGAAAATAGGTGTAGTGATGAAGATCCACTTGGTGGAAAAAAAAACTCTATAAATCCACGGGTGTCTGATTTCAGTGCCGTGAAATTAAAGGCCAATGGAGAAATGATCGCTGTTGGATATATATCGCTCGTATTCATCGCATCTCTTTCTTATGTTCTGTAATCTATACTATGATCACCTGTATTTCAATTACTATAGCAACAGATAAAAATGCACATCCAAACCCCTCGCACGCACTTTACAGTCAATTGTTTACTTTGCTTTAAATTAAATTGACTTTATCTTCTACAACTATTTAATTGGAATTATTAATTTTAATTTTTAATTTTCATGTATATAACAATAGTTTTTAATAAAAGTTTGACTCGAAATTTATATTTTGAAATCATGACCTTCAAGTTATTGCGCGATAAAAAATAAATGAAATTAATTTTAAAAAATAATGTCGACATTATAAAGCAATGTAAACAACTTAAGAAAAACGAATTTTTGTTTGTTTGTAAAAATGATTCAATTGATCAAAAAAGCATAAATTTAAAAAAATTATAAAAAAGTTGCAGTGATTAAAAAACCTATTGGGTTTAAAATTTTGGAAACAGATTGAACTTAATAATTAATTTAAGTGATAAGTTAATTTAAAAAAAATTTTGAAGAATATGAAATATGGTTTTCGCTTATAAATTTGGATTTATTATTGATCATAAAATTTTATTATAAAAATAGGATGTATTTATCTCAAAAAATAATAAGTAACACAAATTTCCGACATTATTTACGGACAATTATTATTAAATATAATAATTAATGTTGGTTGGAATAATTTTATTAGGAATTTCGTCTTGTAATCTAATATTTGAAAGACTAGTAGTGGTCCTAGATGAAATTTATTTGTTGGTTCTATTGTACAACGCATAATATGGGAAAATTTTCTCTTCCCTGGAATATCGTCTTGGTACATCGAAAGAACGGCAGAGAATCGTTCACAAGAAATGAATGAAGGGTTTATCTTAATCCACGGTTCGTCGAACAGACAAGCTCTAACCAACCCCCTATAATATCCGCCTTCTTTCGCTATAACCGATCACACTTCACTTGTTTTACCAGATTTCTTGTACTAAAATTTCCAAATCAAAATTACTATCCAAACATGAAAATTTCTCAAAATCATTTCTCTTTTATATATTTTTTTCACTATTTTCTATTCTAAATTTTTTAATAAGTTGATACGTTTTAATTTCTGTTAAATATGTAAGTATGAGACTTAAAAAAATTTTAAGTATGTTACATTAATGAAAATTCTAATATTTAAATAAGTGAAAACTAAAATTATTTGCAGTGAATTTATCAGCAGGTATTTTTGAATAAAGATTTTAAAAAAGAAAGGTAGAATAATTAAACGGAAGTTAACGCTGCGAGTCTGTATACTGGATTGATATCTTCCCAGGATATTACGATTTCACGTTCATTGGTAAAAGGAGAAGAATGGTGAGGAGGGCTTGGATCATGATCAAAAAGCAGAAAATCATCGAAAGGTATATAGGCAAACACCTGTAACATCGCTGGTAAAGTCACGTGCCCAGGCGTGTCCGTGACTAAATTCGAGCGGATCTGCAAAAAGGAAAATAGCAAAAAGTCACTCAGCCCGTGCCTCAAAAACGTGAAATATCTTTAGCGAATGATCCTGGGAAGTATTAAACCGCAAATCCGTCGCCAATTCTCACAAATAAACGTTTCAATGTTTCTACATCTAACGGATCATCAATTTACAATTCTTTTTTCAACTTATTTATTACCTTTATACAATGTTGCTCGTAATAAAAAAATTATTATTTTATAATTTAGAAAAATTACGTGGAATGCTTATTATATAAAAGCCCAAACCAATATTTATCTAACAAAAACTTTTTGAAAGTACTTTAATTTACTAAAAGACTATCACAGAAAAAACGATATTTTACATTTATGAATATAATCTTGGCTCCTATATAAGTATAAATTTGCCATGTGTTCTTAAAAATAATTTTAAAAATTGGAAATATTGTAAAATTTTATATTTTAAAGAATTTGACTAATTTTTTTATTTAAATAATTCAATTCTCGTCGTTGAATTCTATTTGGAATTAATTTAAGAAAAATTTCAGTTAAAATTTTAGAAAATAATTGAATATTTAAAGCGTTATAACAGGAATTTTAGGAATTAATTAAATTTTAAAAGGTGTTTTTCCTAAATTAAATTGTTTGAAAATCTAAGGGAAGCAAAAGTATAAAAATATATTTTATTTTATTTAAAAAATTATTAATTGCATTTTTTATTTTTAAAAATTCTTAAAGTTTTGAATAATTTAATTTAAAAATTGTAAAAAAAATAGAGACGTTCGGGTTCTTTTCTTAAATTTATCGGTAAAAATAATTTTAATTATTTATTACTGTAGCCCAGTATTTAACCACAAATAAATTTTTTTACATTTTAAAATCTAAAATAAAATAGTTTTATAAAAAAAAAACTTTTATAATTAAAAATTGTGAGTAAAGTGAATTTAAAACAATTATTAAAGAAGATTAATTTCTGGATACATAAAAGTTCACACGATTTTGTGTAAGTACATGTTGAAGGTCAGATAGTCAGCATGACTTTGCAGTCTTTACCCTCGACCACCAGCAATGTCCTGCTAACTATTTATCTTGTTATATCTAAGAGATTCGATTCTAACCACAGATCAATGACGTCCGCCTTGCTAACAGCTACTTTTTTCTATTTTGTAGACGATATGCCTCATCTTAGTTCACTGCCTCGTGTGACACGCGTGGAAGCATATGTTTCTGTTTACACTGTTAACTTTAACCCTTGTTTATAATTATTAAAAAATTCTTTACATTTTTGTTTAGAAAAAGAATAATGAATTGATGGGAATTTTAGTTTTTTTCTTATGCAATTTTTTTTGCGCAAACAACATTATTTAAAATAATAATCAGCATATTTCTTGTACGGCAGAGCAAAATTTTTGTAGGCAGGTGAAAACTAACCTTAGATACTTTAAATAATGATGATTTTATTTTAATTAATATAGTTAATAAATTCATTTTAATTAGTTAATAATAATGCTTGTGCTGAATCGGATTCATGTATAATCACTACTTTTTTAATAAACACGCTTTTCTTACTAGAGGAAACGTGTTAATTGACGTTTATTGTAACGTACGATATCAATTAAAAAGACTGGAAATTCAAGATGAATCTTAATTATCCATTTTAGCGTCTACTTTTTCTCTAGCGGATATTTTTTAAATTCACTTATAAATTCTATCAAAGGATTGAAGTATCTAAATTAATTTTTCCGAGAAGATAATAATTTAAAGTGTTCATAGAAATGTTAATAATAAAGTGGAATTTTTTTTCCTATATGTTTCCTTGACATGAGAGTTTGATACTTCAAAAAATAATACAGAAGTAAATTTAAAAAATTTGAATATTTTTTAATTGATTATATTAAAAATAATTATTAATCTAAATAATTTATACCGTTTTAGCAAAAATTACTTTTTAGATTTTTAAGTATCATTTCATAATATTGATTGGTCATGATAAACATTAAAATTAGAGACCTCCCACACATAGTTATAGTAAAAAATCTTTAAAGTCATTGATAATTAATTAATTCTAAGAGAGAAAGTAATTAAAATTTTCAAACTACCCAAAGGCATATTCAATCTATTAATAGTACAATACATTTTTGTATTCAAGTAGAAATAAAAGGACATTCAATTCTTGATTAGACTTATATGAAAATATTAAAAATCATGACTAACTTTTATGCGTTAATAATTAATTTTTTTCGAATAAAAGCTTATTAATTTAAAATACAAAATATCATAAGAAATTCTAAAAATTTAAATATCAACAGTTACTTTCAGGAGTGAAATAAATAATAATAATTGTTATACTTATACCTATAATTTTTGCTTCCGTGATAAATCTCCATTGTGGACCAACTTATGTAATTTTCTCCTAATTTTCCTGTTTGTTGAAAAAATCCCTTTTTAATCTGCAACAGAAAGACAATTTTTTTCTAAATACCGATTTTTTTTTAATTACACAATTATAAATATAATTTCAAATAAAATAATTTATTTGTCTTAATGTCTACAATTATGACAAGTTTACTGGTTGATAAGAAATAGTAATTGTTATTCACACTTCTACATATCAAGGACTTTAAAGGAAGACCATTATTATGTTTCAAATTTACGACTGAACTTGCTTAATGACGTCAGAAAACTCTGGGTTAATCCTTGTCACTAATGACTAATACATATAATTATATATGAAAATTATATTGTTTACAGTTCGCTTTTAGCCTTTGTATAAGAAAAATAAAAAATACAGTTAATTTTTTTTCATTCTTAATATAAATATAGAAAAAAATGAATTATTACCTTATGAATGTAATTTATTCCGCAATCCAACTACGTGGAATTTATATTTTAGCTACTTATGAAGACAATAGAATTGAATGGAGAACCTCTGTCGGTTCCGGTTTATTAATTGTGTAAAAACTGTCGGACGCACGTTCATCGCCTTTTTCATGATTTAATTAGTTACCATCCAAGGAACCTGGGCCACCTGGTTGAAATAAACCATCACAAGGTTCTTGTCCAATTTTCAATCGCGCAAGTACGGAAATAAAAAATTTGAAATTACTCCGAAAATAATAGAGACTTTAGTGAGACGCTGCGTGAGACGATGGAAAATTGTAGATGGGTAAGTTCGTTATTATTAATTAATTTTGAGATATCATATATAAATTAATAATTAAATTTGTACTAGAATTGAATTTTAAACTAATATATATATATTTATATTATATATATATTTTTTTAGATTTTGAAATGTATAAAAAGTATATTTGTGGTTAAATACTGGGCTACAGTAAAAAATAATTAAAATTATTTTTACCAACGAATTTACAGTGAAATAGATCCTCTCAAGATTCCCAAAAATGGTTTCGACTTCTCTCCCAAATTATTCACAAAATAAAATAAGAATTTTATAATTATCGACCTTCTCTCAATGATTACACAAAAAGAATTAATAAAATGGCGTTGTTTGTTTATCACCTAGGAGATTCGTTGCCAACGTAAAAAGTGAAAGACGCGTTAATAAATTAGAATCGCGCTATACAATTTGTGAATGGTTCTAAGTTAATCCGGAAATCTAGTTTCTTCACGTTGATTGGTTGGTTAAGATCGAAAAGAAATTTAAATAGCCAAAAGGTGATTCTTGAATTAAAATATTAAAAATTATGATAAAGCCTTCCAAGGATGGAAAAGTCTTGAATGTTCCGCCAGGAAACAAAGTCAATCAATAATTTCAAAGTAGCAACACTGCACACAATTTGAAAAGTGTTATTTAAAAAATAAAGATATTGACAAACTTGTCTTATAAATTATTATCCGTCCTGCTGCACCCAACATTTTAAATTCTAAACCGCCCCCACTATGAAAAAGGATACTAAACATAAATTGTAAAGTTTCCTTGATCGCGAACATGATATGAAATATCCAAGAATATATGAGAACATGTCCTAGAAGATGATTGGCGAGCAGGAAGGGTGATACGAGTTTATCCAACCCCCTGGTAAGTCGCGATGGGAATAAAATGTGAAACTGTAAATTGTGCGTGGGAAAAATTGGTCCCCGGGCGGTCGTGTTGTGGTCTTTCGGGCGTATATATATAGAGAAAAAGAAACACGGGTCTGTCGCCGCGAAGTCGAGGATTTAAATGTGCAGCCGAGCAAAAATAGAAGGGGAATGGAAAATGGTTGGAAATTTGTTATGTTTCGTTGGACTATCACTCCCTGGTGAATATGAAGAAAGAATTCTTCGGTATTTCAGTGGGGGGATAAGATTTTGAGCTTTCCTTTGGTGGACGAACGGCGTCAGAACACCCATAGTGAAACTGTGAGGGTGAATTCGCAAAGGGTGACACTACACGGTGCCAGGAATATAAAACGGAGGATAAAAGAGATGATGGTCACATATGCGAGCCGTAAAAGCTCTTCCTTGAAAAGTTGCAACTGGTCTTCTTTAACTACCATCATATTGTTTTGTGATCCTGTATATCACAAAAGTTTTTCTTAAAAACACTAATTACTGTACACAAATATAAATTACTCATACAACTAGAATTATGGGATCCAACAGTGGACGTCTAGGTATTACATGAAAGAATTTGTAGGTTACCGTTCGAGTTGAGGACTGCAACCTTATCATCGAGACGTAAACGCATATGAGCTTTCAATCACTGACAAAGGGGAAAAAGAAAAACGCTGTAGAAAGCATTTCAAGATAGACTCTAGCCTAAATACAACACATGGTAGATTACAAGAGAACTATTGTAGCCAACAGTCATCTTTATCCACAATTTAGGAAACGCTCTCAGTTAGCAAAAGACAATTTAGTCTGATCCTAACCATCAGAGAAGGATCATCCGTAAATATTATTCGTTCCTCGTGATTTTTATGTCCACGAACTATTTAAACTTATATTGATGCTAATCAATTTTAATCGTACTAATTTTAAAGTGTCTGCACAAAAAAGTGAGTTAGATTCAAAGGTCCAGAAGAATGCCAACATGACAATCAAGGATAGACTTAAAAGCCTAACATTGCTCATACAGGAAATCAAGTTGTAGTAGGAAACTGCTAAAAAGGAGGACCAGAATTTCCTTCTAAGTTTGAGAACTGTAGCAAACCTTTCCTGACAACAGCCGAGTTCTAATTGTATGTACTGGACAATAATCTACATTTCCTGTACGAAAAACAATTATATAGAATGAAAAAGGAATCAAATTAAACTATGATGCAATATACGGCAGAATTCTTGAACAAAGCTCATTTAAATTCCGAAATTGATTCCTTACAAATTCTAATTTTGTTTCAGTGTTTCCAATAAGACTTCTGGATCTATCTACTCTCGATTGTAAAGGGTTGGTTTAAAGAAAAATTTATGAATATGTAAAATAAATAATATGATAATACATTAATAATGCTGGCGACTTATTGCAACACTAAAATCCGACACACTAAAATCCGTAACCCTTATTTTGAAGTAATTTGGAAGAAAAAATATCAGAGTTTAAAGTCAGACTATAAAATTTAATTGATGATCAATATTGAATAATTATTACAATACACTTAGAAATTATTATAAAGAGCGCAATTCATAACTCCTCAAATTAAATCTCCTACTGCTAACAGTTTTCAAAAAACTTTTTAAATAATAACAATTCACCTTCATGCAAAATATCCCTTTCCCAATTCTAATTTGTAATGTAAACTGTATTATTTGCAGAACGATAAAAATTAAAAGTCCAAGACGAAGCTTTCTGCCGATTAAGTATACGATCGTAAAAGTTGTTTCACGCGAGAGAATGCTTCTCCCAAAGGAATAGGTGTGGAGAATTCTCGTTTCTATGGAAACGTAGTCAGAATCCCTATAGTCTCGAACGCTATCGGCGAATATTAAGAAATAGCTTGCTGGTATTTCCGTATTTGCGGACAGAAATGAGCCATTTGTCTGCCTCGACTGGAATAAGGCACTGTCTATGCATGGCACGCCACCCCCAACCTACCCTACCCCCCTATAAATAATACCTCACCATTCCTTTCTTTTCATCGCTTTTCCCTCTCCCCCATCTTTTCTCGACGCCTGCCTTTTTTCCTCCCAAGAATCGCTTATAATATTTATTACCCAGGCGTGATTTCGCGAAATTTTAACTTTTTCTTAATTCCCGTTAAGATATAATACGAATATGTTTAGGAAAAATAAGAAATTTTTACAAATAGAATTTATTTCGTGAGGGAAAAAACGATTAGTTGTTTTAATTGGATAGTTTATGAAAAGAAGGCGTCATATCTGAGTATGACGTAAACATTAATTTATAATAAATTGTCCTTAGCTGCCTAAGTGGAAGAGTTGTATTACCAATGGAAAGAATTAATTATTATATTTTCCAAAGAAGTGGTTTTTCTGAAGGTGAATATTTCCATTTGGAGTGTTTTCTCTATTGAGGCGTGTATTTTCTACTGGTAGAAAATTATTTTTTTCGTGACAGTGGAAACTATTGGAAATTATAAATTGCCTTTCGCTTTGGTTAAAGTTTACCCAGGCTGATTAATGTTTCTTGCCGATACAATTCCAGAAGGTCTTGTTTTAAAATAGAGGTAAATTTTACACCTCTTTTTTGGAAATCCATTCAGATTTAGTGAATCAAGTGTATGTACATTGACTAACATCAATAGTATGTCTACATTAATCACATTAAGTTTGAATCTTTTGTACGTAGAATCAACACCGCATTCATAGTTTCAGAATCGATAGAGGGGAGTTAAATCGTAAATAATATGAGTCAAAAGGCAGGAATCGGGTAGATTTTTATAATTTTAGAAAAGCAAAAAGGGCGAGGGTACTAGTCACAATCGTATTACTAATGATTTTACTTGAAGCAACCCTCGCAAACGTCATATATAGCTATGATAGGAAAGTCTGCCAGCGGAAATGCCTGTCCGATAAACCCCAACCCTAAATCTTATGAGCTGTCCTGGGTTTTGAAGGTTACGTGTCGTTTGATCAACTCTTGTTTATCGATGATTTCGTTTACCGCAAGTCGAAAATAAGAAGATGCCTAAAACGGCTTCTATAACCCACAACGACCACGTTTTCCTAAGTAGTTTTACAAATCAAACGGACAGCATATAAGCATTAGTACTAGAGGAAAGAAGAAAATTTATTTGTGGTTAAATACTGGGCTATTATAAAAAAGAATAAACGTATAGATTATGTTTTAGTTTTCCATTTAAAAAAGAAATTAAGAAAAAAGAAGAATAAAATCATTAATAGAAAATTAAAATGTGTACAAAAAAAATGGGAAAAAAGTTGCAGAAAAAGTTTATTCATTTTAGTTTGATGGGATAGAATGTCAGAGTTTCCTAATAGAGGAAAGAAGAAAACATTCGACATCTCAGTTTTCGGTGTTGTTATGTTC